GCGCTCTGTGCGCTCTGTCAACAGGGCCAACAGGGCCAACAGAGCCAACAGGGCATATCACGTGACTCAGCCTTGTTCTCCTGTGGATCCTTCCATCTGTCCAATGAGTGTGGTGAGTCGCGCCAATGCAACTCGTAACCGGGTTTCCTCAAGGCTGTGTCTAACACTAAAATAGATATTAGTGATTCATCACCCGAATCGGGTGAGAAACACCTATATCTAATCGGCTAAAATAGCCGAATCACTACTAGTAATAAAAATTACTCTCTCGATGAGAGCTTAGAGGGTACGATAACCTATCTATAGGTTAACGAGGACCTAATTCATTTAGTATATTATTAATCTTAGCTAAATTCTTACTTACGGTAACGTAGCCAGCGCTAGGCCGGGAACGAGAATAAAATCTACACGACTTAGACTAAGTTTAGTCGTAGAGTAAGGTAGAAGAAACTAGCTTAGAGCTAGAAGTAGACGGAGAATTCGTAAAACCGCGGAAAGCGCTTCTTTCGTTAGTACGCTATTATTGTTCTAATATTGTAGAACTTATAATTCTTATTAATAAGGCTAATATTATAGCTTAACTAGAACTAAGTGTTTAGCCGAACTTTCTCGTACGTAAGAGGCTATATATATATTAGTAGCGTCTCTCACCCGAGTAAGATAAGTAATACTTATACATCTTATGGTTAATCTAAACGAGGAAGAAAGAGACGAAGAAGACTATAGTAAAGGGCTTAAGAACTAAAGTAAAGACTGAAGTGAATTGAACCTCACCCGCATTGCTGCAACAATATAAAACGGCTGTCTCACCTAAATCGAATAGGAATTTAATCACTTACTATTGTTAGTGAATGGCTATTTAACTACTATATTATTGTCTTCGTTATTAATAATTAAGACGGTCTATCCATACGATGAATTAAGGCTATCTTTATACTCGCAGCGACTCGAGGGCGAGCCGCTTTTTAGAGAGAGAGTAACTATCACGAACCCACCGTTGTCCCTAAGTACTCTACGCCCTTCACCCGAATCGGGTGGACGGTATAGAAAGAAAAGAAAAGGATAAGATAAAGAACGGTTGAGGCATAAGGCTATCGGTTAACGCTGCCTTACCCTTTTCACGTAACAGAAAGAGGGGAAGCTATAAGAGTCTCCTCTCACCTGAATCGGCTGAGAGAGAACTCTTCCTTTTTCTTAAGCGTTGAGTCGTTGTTAATAGGGCTACGTGAATAGAACAAGGCATTCAGCTACTCCAATTCCTTTGTACCTACTGCGTTGCGTAGGTCCCTGATACAAATTCGACGTTCACTATTTGGCGATTCGGAGTTTTCGGGTAAGACTTGGGACCAGCAAATTGTTGCTTCAAACGTAAGTGAAGTGAGCTTTCCACTGACAAAAAGATCTTTCTGACCGCGAGACGCAGGTGTACTATGATTTCCATAAATTCGGATACGATGATGCCAATTTCATCATTGACAAGACTCATTGGTACATGGCGTCGCGCATATCAACGGACGAGCTGTGGCGCGTTACTTATGGTGAGAAGGTAGCCACTCGAGAGGAGCTGCTAGCGAGACAGCCAGCGAAATGGCAAGAAATGATTCCAGGACACCCGACTCTAGAACAGTACAAAATTGTCAACTTCAGCCCCTATCGGGTGCACCAGCGGCTAGCACATGCCATGAGAGTTGGGCGTTTTCTTCTATCTGCGGACGCTGCTCATCGTACGGTATTTCCCGCTCTGAAGTGTCCGAAATATCGTGCTCATTATATTGATAGTATGCAATCCATTTGGAGGTCTCGGTTTGACTGGTGGCATTGTCGACATTGGAGGGCTATCTGACTGCCTTGTTGGCATCTACCAAGGAAAAGCAGACGACAGCATCCTCGATGTTAATTGGCAGGTTCGACGATAGCAGTATTCCGAGGTTATAGATCCGATCTCGAGCAGCCATATCAGACTAATTTTCGACTCGGATCCGGCCACAATGATGGAGACGAACGAATTCCTAAAGCTTGCAAGCGATCAGAGACAGACAAAGCGATTGCGAAGGAAATGATGCCTGCGATCAATGTCATCAAATACGACTTTACACAGCACTATCGGAATGCCTCTGCCGACGGCAGAAATGAGTAAATCACACCAATTACGGTTTCAGGCGTTGCAGGCTGATATTTGGTCCAATCCTGTCGGTAGATGTTGTGTTTTTCACTGGAAAGCCCATTGTTGAACGAAGGTTGAGTTGTGAACCTGTCTGGTTGATTGTGTTCTGTCCCCCCTGGCTATTCAGAGAGACTCTGCCTGTTTATATATACATTGGCTTGTAACCACAAGAGCATTCCCGAAACCTCCTATTCCGTCGTCATCCTGTCACAGATCTGTAGGAACAACGAGGTTGAGGCAGTTTGCGCAGTTGGTGAAGCGTCTAGCGTCTCAGGTGGTTTGCCCCAATGGTGCTCTCGCGACCCTGTCAACACCCATTACAGTACATATATATTCCATGCAAGAGGGTTGATGGTTTTTAGCCATGGTCGTCAGCGATGTATGGCGGCGACTGCTTAGCTTGATATTGCGCCAAATACATTCAAGCAGCCGCCCCGCTCTAAAGTCTCTTTTCTGAAGAACTGGAATGCCTGCGGATCTATGAGAGAAATTTCATCATCTGGCTCCCCTCCTGCGCCCTTAATATAGGAATGAAACTCGGAAATGACAGTCGACGATGCTATGATGTTCCTGTTCTATGAACACGATAATTCGATATTTCTAGTACTGAATCCTAGTCACTTCTTCACAATCACGTCTGATCAGAGCGGCATGAGCTTCGCTTCGTAAGGAAACCTTGACGTCAAAAGGTGCGGAATGTTTCGTGAGCTGCGGTATGGTCATAGTATCAATTGGCTTGTCCGGAACCTGGGTAAAATCGAAGCAATAGAGCAGACGGGCGATTGCGATCCACACGTTCATCTCGCCGACTTTCCATCCTGCACAAACTCTGCGGCCTAAAAACGGGGTTCGTCAGTCAAAGTGCTAGCTACAAAAGCTCTAGAATGGTAGGGACAATTTTACCAGGCCCAAATGCCCAGTGCCCTTTGAGCGGGTTGGTCAAGTCGTCATTTAGAAATCGGTCCGGCCAGAATCGCTCAGGGTCTTCATACTCGTCCGGGCTAAGTGCTATAGCCCATGCATTCCAAGTGAAAACGGTTCCAGCTGGGAACTTGTATCCTTCATACTCATCGTCCTTGATGTGCAGCATTGTTGGTGCTCCAATCTCAGCAATGTTCGGGCGCCAGCGGAAACCCTCCTTCACCACGGCGGTGATGTAACGGAGCTGGTCGCGGTCCGCCCATTGAGGAAGTCGCTCGGCGTGGTGCCCGCAGACAGCGTCTAAATGTACCCTGGCTCGTTCTACCCAGTCGGGATACGTGGCTGCCCCTGCGATTATCTGACCCAGTGTGACTCTCGAAGTGTCACTGCCAGCTTCCATCAAAGTACCAAAGACGAATAATCGCTGCGTCTGGCTCATTTCGGTCACTTCTTTTGTTTGAAGGAAAGCGGTGCCAAAACATTCTTTTTGGTTTCCGTTCATCTTGCGTCTGAGTCTCTCCTCCTCTCTAGCATAGACTCTATCGAATGGCTCGTCAGCAAATAATCTGACTATATTTTATCGTTGGTTGAAGCCTCGGGCCTGAGCTTAGCTACTTACTTCTTTATCTTTTCGAATATTCTCTCACCGCGAGGTCTCCACCACTGGAGTCGCTTTGGCAAGCGATCTAGGATGGGAAACGCATCCACGATATTGACGCCGGGCTGTTGGTTTTCCAGAAAAAGTTCCAAAGTTTCGAAGAGCTCGACAACGTCGGGATCGTCGAGAAGAGATCTTCTCCTAAAAATAACGCTCATAATGACAGAGTTCGCATATCGACCGTTGGCAGACCACCATCGATTCGGCTTTTCCAGATAGTCCCAGAGCAGCTGCTTGGACTCCAGGTCTTCAAACGGCATATAAAGTTTTGTAGAGCTCAGGATTTGATGCATAATCTTACGCAGAGTCCGCCATCGCTCATTGTAGGGCATAAGCACGATTCTGGAATTCCCCGACATGATTCCTTGTGTCATGGGAAACGGCGGCCGTGACGAGTAGATTGCCGCCCGTCGCTCCATGAGATCATTAACGACCCGAGACGAATTCAAGAATACCCAAGTCTGGGATCCGAATTGGCAGGCGAACCTAGCAGTCAAATTGATGTGAGTTTTGTTGCCTGTCTCGAAAATCCTATACCTGAGGCAAGGTTGCTTGCTTACATCTCCCCATATTTATCTGCCAGCTTTTTAGCCCATGGCCCTTGCTGGAGTGCAGGTATCTGGAATGTATTTCCAAATATGGGGATCCCTGGGACGAGCGGAGGTAACTTGTATGATGCGTTTTTGCGAAAGGAGCGAAACCAGCTCTGTACGACAAAAACGACCACAAAGCCGAGAATCAGGGTTCCTGTTACATTCATGGCGACTATTGGATGATATTGGTCGAAGGTTCGTCTTAATTTTTTTTTCTCTGAGTTACAAGGCTGAAACGGTAAGATTGGAGAGGATATGCTAGTGGGATATTTCGTATAACCACGGTGAATTTTGCGTTAACCAGTATCGAGTCTTTGTGAGTGCCCGTTGACAGAAAATATTGCATTGAACCCCCCACCTAGGGCATAGATCAATGTTAGAAGTGGATTTGGTATTCGGTCAGTCGACTAAACTTTACGACAGTATATCCAAATACAGAGTACATCAAACCATTCCCATATCCATCTCTCAGGGAATCTGTTATGATTTTGGGAGTTAATATTTGGGCCTTCATAGCACGATCAGACTATGTACAGGGTTATGAAAGTCATACCTCGGATTTTCCGTCTTCCGTCTCCTAGACACAAGTGGTGATTTACTCGTGTTCTCCCCTCCAGGAACCCTTGTGTCTTGTAGAACGCGGAAATTGTGGGGTTGAAACCCGTTTCGGCGGGGGCTGTGTATGACCCAAGCTCCTCTTCATGTAATCATTATCAGGTGCATTCTCACTCACCAATCTCCACATTCTAGTTCTCCGCTGACAACTCTGAATTTTCAGGGGGCGCTTCCCCATGAAGCACTCGACGCCGGATGGTTTAGACATCTCTCAATGCTCGATATTCTTCGAACGTTTACCTTTGATTCCTACTCCCAGGCTGGACGTCGGCAGCATTCTGCTAGAAGACTTGATCCCACTCCCAATGATGGCTCTACGAGAGTTTCAAACAAAATTTATGCTTGATGGCCTCTTGCAAGCCACCAGTCAATCACTATTTGGGCGGTTGACAACCTTCTCCTTGTCTTACTCGGGTCTTTGCTGTTTCTATAGCCAACTCTGCTGGTTATCGTTACTTATCGTGTTTTCTTTCATCCTTTATCATGATTTCCGGGACTCTTCCTGTCCAAGTTCTCGGGTCCGTGGCGTAGTAATCAGTATCTTAAGGGCCATATATGAGGACGTTGTGGAAGTGCACCATAAGTACCGACGTATCGTCCGTGTGGCGCCTAATCAACTCTCGTGGACGAAGACGTGAAGAAAACCTCCATAGATGTAGCTACAAGGCGAAAAAAGTCGACCCAGTACAACATTTAGGATCCTCGTAACACCGCCTGGGGGTTAGGAACAGTCTTTTACGCGACCAGGACAAGGGAAAGATGGGGGAGGTGTTCCGAGGAGTAAGGCATATGACTAGACTACAAGAGCTGGCAACCACCTTTTGTGACACAAACCCAGAGGTGTCACAATAAACTAGATACAAAAAGCCGCCCTAAGTATGTTTACTGATAGATCATCTCAAAGTGAAGGAGAAGATGGCCAACGACGTAGACAACCTTGACAAAAAGTTTCCAGTTTGTCAGTGTCCTCAAAGTCTCCTATCCATGAGACGTATTGGTCGGGCCTTATCAAAACAACGTATCCTCTGATCGAATCGACTCCATAGTTCTTGTATGCATCACCAAAGGGCTCCAAGTATGAATGGTCGTCCACAAATTCGTTGTTGTATTCCGAGCTTTTTCGCAGGGGCGCAGGAAAGTGTGATAGTTCAACTTCAGTGCGGGGGCCAGAATGAACGGCGATAATGCCGAATAAAGGCATGTATTCCGACGTATAGGTGTTCAAAATGGATAAAGGTGACAACAAATAGTCTGCGAAGGCCAAAACTCGTTCTCGTTGAGGTAGATCGATCATGCTGCCCGCAAAAATTAGTAAGCGCAACTGTCCATTGGACGGAAGTCGATCCTGGAGATGACATGAACGAGCATCGGCCTGATTCAGAACGCGGTAAGAAGGAATTCGCATTCCCAAATGGATGCCCTTGGCAAGGTCCGTTTTCGATAAGACCTTAGAGGAATGATGATTCCTTTGATGACTGGTTTCGTCCACCAAAACTGATGGCGCATAGGTGACGGTGATTCCAGCCACAAATAACTTAGCATCCTCGAAGGTTTGCTTAAATTCCTTAAGAAGGCCGTCTTCTGCTTGATTGAAATCTGGTTCAAGCTTGCCGCTGAAGAGACTGGACCATTTACGATCGAACTCGATGAGCTCTTGAGCTACTGGCCGTCTCTCAGCCTCGTAAGTTGCTAAGATTGACCTAGGTGCTTTGCGTTGTAGGACTTGAGCGATTTTCCACCCTAGATTGTATGCATCCATAAGTGAAACATTCATTCCTTGACCTGCTTTCGGCGAGTGAGTGTGGCAGGCATCTCCCAGGATAAAGACGAGATCGAATTTTGTATACCGAGTACTGACTCGTTGTCCAATCTGGTAGGCAGTGAACCAGTCGCAATAATCGTACTGTAAATTGTATGGCGACATGATTTTCTGTGCTGCTCTCAATATATCCTCGGGGGCGATCTTTGTACTGTCAATTCTTCCGTCCATATTACGCTCGAGATCCTCTAGTTGAATATATAGACAAACAAGCTCGTTTTCTCTGGGAATCACCATTAAGCTTCCATTCCGTGCCGAGTGGATGGAGCATCTGCTTCGAATGTCTGGGAAGTCTGTCAGGGGATGAATATCAAGGACTCCCCATATAAAGTCTGTTTGGTCCCCTTCCATGTCAACTCCAATCTGACGTCGAATCCAGGAGTGTGCACCATCGCAACCAAAGAGATATTTGCATTTGATCATCTCCTGAGTTCCAGCTTTAGCGATCTTATTTATCGCTTGATCCTCTTCTTTTGAAGTAGTGAAATTGGTGGAACGAAATAAGCCGTTAGCTCTAGTATGACCGAACTGTGACGGAGCTGATTCTTGCTCAGAAAGATGGCGAATTCGGAGAGTGATTGGATGACTATCATCACCCTCGATCATCTCGTCGACTTGGTGTAAATCTGGTTGCACCCCATACTCCACATCCGGACCTTCACGCTCTTTTATGGCATCTTTCAGAAACCTTTCAATATATCCTTGGTGTAAGACCGCTCCTTGAAAGCGTGACATATTTGGCGGACCGTCGGCCGTACGAGAACTTCGATATATTCGACCATTACGATCGGGCTGCCAAAAGGAAAACTCGGCCATGGGCTGTGCGATTTTCAATACTCGCTCTTCGAATCCGAACGAATTGAACACTTCTTGTGTTCTACCACCAAGTCCGTCAGCCTACCCTGCGTAAAAAGTCGCCGTCCGCTTGTCGATAATGCGGACGCTCACGCCTTTGAAAGCGGACAGCCAAAGATTTGACATGAGTCCTGCAGGCCCAGCTCCTACAATGACTACATCAACTTCACTAGTTGGAAGCTGAGTGTGATGATCCATATTGAAAGGAATAGAAATATGTCTGGCCGGGTTTTCACAGCCGCCAGCAATTAAACGTGTGAAAGTTTTCACTCAAAAAGACCGAAAGTATCCAAGAGCAAAGGCGGATATATTGTAGTTGCTGTCCTGCGGGAGGTGCGGGAGGGAGAGATTATTGATCAACAACCCTCTTTCAGTTGCCTATTTCTATCGGTGAGAATTCATGCACCCTCATCAGCTCAAGATTAGAATTCGAATTTTCTCTCGAGGTTGAGAGTCAGTCTCCCCTTGGCAGCTGTTTGCAACACCCCGCAACTACTATATCCGCCATTTACAGTAACATTCTGAATGTATCAGTGAACCAAGCTTTGAACCAAATAGTGAGGCAGCAACCTTCCCTATTCGAATATTATTGGTATTTGATCTGTTTCGCGGTGCTCCAACTTGTCGAGAGGAGTCATTTTGCTAATCCTCGCTCTGCTGAAGAAAATCATCCTAGTGTGAAAGGTTGCGCCTCTGCTGTAACTCACATAACAACCTACAGTAGCGACAACATAACGAGTCGGGAAATGGTCTCCTCGACAATCAGTCCTTAAGGATAGCTTCCTTTGTCTATGGGTGTCTTAGAATTTGAGTGGTAGCCAGTAGCTGTTGAGTGCCCTCAAGTCGCCGAACTATCCTCCATAGAGTATGTGGGTTGCTACTTAGCAAACTCAAAAAAGTCCCACTTGATTCAATTGGTAGTTGCGAGAAACTTGCGAAGGCGACGACTTCTTCCTCATCCTTAACCACCCCACGTTTCCTGGATTTGATTGCGACTCTTTTAAAATCCTTTGGATTTCTCCCTGAAGCCTCCATTAGCCAAAAATCGGTACTGAATACAACTACTGTGTTCTACATCTGAAAACAACAACAACGGGCTTCCTAGGTACTCTTGAAGACACCAAACTTCCCCATGTGCCAGCATCTGTCATTCTTAATGAACAAATTGCGATCTCAGAGACGGTCACTTCCCACCTAAAAAGAGGAAAGGGCAAGGACGAGCACATTGTTCTCATCCGACCACCTTCTGACGATCCCAACGATCCGCTTAATTGGATCCCTCTCAAAAAGCTCCGAGCCTTGGTCATCGTTTGTTTCGGAACCTGCCTATATGCAGCAACATTTAGTCCACTACTTAACACGGGGCTGGTTGTGCTCGCTGTGGAATTTAATCGCCCGATTGGCGATATCACCCTGATATCTGGGTATATGTTGCTTGTTGCCGGTGCAACCGCACCACTTGTCTCTGCTTGCTCTCGCAAATGGGACAAACGTCCGGTGTTCCTGGTTTCTGCGCTCTTTGGGATCGTTGGGTCGATCATCGGCTCAGTTTCTTCCTACGAAACCCTTTTAGGGGCACGAATCATTCAAGGGTTCTCTGTTGCAGCTTACAAGAGTCTGGTTGTGTTATGGTCGGCGATTTGTATTGTGTCCATGAACGAGGGAGCTACATGTCGGCAGTGCAATTCCTCCTGGCCAGCGCGGGAAACTTCTCACCTACAATTTGCGGACCAATTACCGAGAATCTCGGCTGGCGATACCTCTTCCACCTCTGTATCTTATTCACGGGATTGTAATTCATTCTACTCCTCTTGTTCGCCCCCGAGACACAGTTTAGACGTGACCACCGGTTTGGCATTGATGAGCTAGCCTATGACAACCTCGAAGAACTCACAGAAATCGAAAAGCGACATTCGTCTCACATTGAATCGCAGGAAGTCCACAAGTCGGGAACGACAACAGGAGTCTGTTCAAGCAATGGACCCGGCCGAGAAAAGACGTTTCCTTCAAGAGCTCGCCATCTTCACGGGAAATTATTGCGATGATAACCTTCTTCAATTGGTTATTGCCCCCTTTGCTGTCTGCACCAATCTTTTCGTTCTCTGGGTAGTAGTCATATCCGGCTACGTTGTCGCAACCTATGTCGCACAGGCGTATGTTCTTGCTCAGATATTCTCTTCTCCGCCGTATTCCTTGTCTGCCGCAGGTATCGGATATCTCTTCCTAGGTCCTTTCACTGGAGGTCTCATTGGTCTTCTTGTCTTTGGCACGATTGCCAATCGAACGACCAAGTGGTGTTCCGCAAAAAATGGCGGCATCTACGAACCAGAGTTCCGCTTACTCCCTACTGTAGGCGGCTTGGCCGCCGGAGCAGGGTTGATGGGCTTTGTTGTCCTTTGCCAACAGTAGGCAAGCTACTATGCCACAGCGGTGATGCCCGGAATCACCGTTTTCGGCATTGCGGCTGTCGCAATTGGCTCAGCGGGGTATGCCTTGGACGCTTTTCGAGACATGAGCAGTGAGATCTTTGTCAGTGCGATTATTTTCAAAACTTCCTCTTCTATGGCTTTAGCTACTTCGTAAATAGCTGGACAGCGACAAGGGGCCCTGCTTATATTTTCTTTGTCTTTGGTGGGGTGACTCTGGCCATCGTAGCGACAACACCTTTGGTTTATGTCTACGGAAAGAAGTACAGAAGTTTTTAGGCAAGACATAATGTGATGCGAATTATGCACATCAAGACGCATTCTGAGCTTTGAGCGTTAGTCGCTCAGGAGCTAGAAAGATATGGAGGACTCTGTTGTGGAATGCTTGAGCGAATCCTGTGCAGTTATCGCTGTTCCAGTGTATGGCTCTGATTGTCTGTCCGGGCTCCAGACAACTATTGGAAAGGAATCATACCAATTCCGCAACTCTGGTTGCATTTATCCTCTTGCGGGGGCGCCGGTTGTTTTCTGTGTGAGCCTGTGTGATGAAGTATCTCATGCTGGTATACTGGTAGAATCGAGCCTGAAGCCACCGGACTCACAGGCGACAGACGGCCTGAATCCCATCGAGGCCATGTTAGACAAAGCCTAACCCTAAATGGTAGGTTTCCTGATCGCGCCTGCTTGGCACCGAAGAATTCTCCACACAAAAAGGCCTTCTGTCCCTAGATAAGTTCTCTTCTGATATCAATCAAGTTATAGTACCTGTGAAATGAGACGTAAAAGTATATTTGAACTAGCTAAATCTATGTGGCCTAGGAGGCTGCTTTTATAGCCACAATTACCAGTGGCTCGGCATATTTCACAGACCTTTTGTCTATCATCCTACGGACCGAGAGACCTCCCTACAAATCTTCCCATTTCTATTGTAATGGGAGAAGTTTGAAGTGGTGGATAGCGTTATGATTGGCTGGGGCGCCGACCCTAGACTATGGTTCTTCTTATATAGTCCTGGGGGACTATCCTTCATAGAATGGACAATCAACCAAGTTACCAACAGAGAGGACTTCCCCTAGTTGAGTGTGCGTGTTGGGAAGAGGCTATACCCACCGCCGTACGAGTTGATACCCATGGCTAGTAGCCTCGCCCCAGTTCACTATTCGTACCATTTCTAAGCGGTGAAGGTAGGAAGCTTTTCACCATGAGGTCTAACGTCGTGCGAGTGGCGGAAGGCATTTCTTCTATATCTGTCCTGACAGTGTCATCTAAGAGATATGTGGCAGTCTGATGTTAGAGACATCCTTGAGACCGACCGCGGGGCCAAAAAGCGCCCAAGGAGGAAGCTTGACCGAACGAAAGCCAGCCTCGATGGATAAGGCTGGAGGAGTCACGTGATTTCCAGGATAGGAAGGAGTTTGTTTGCACACAGAATGAGAGCGGATCTATCTGCTTGATTGTGTTCTGTCCCCTGGCTATTCAGAGAGGCCCTGCCTGTTTATATATACATTGGCCTGTACCCTGAAGAGCATTCCTGAAACCTCTTATTCCGTCGTCATCCTATCACAGGTCTGCGAGAACAACGAGGTTGAGGTAGTTTCCGCAGTTGGTGAAACGCCTAGCGTCTCAGGTGGTTTCCCACAGTGGCGCTCTCGCGACCCTGTCAACAGAATGAGTCTGGACAGCGACTTCCCCAGCGCCTTCGTACAACAGTAGAGCCAGATTCGCAAAGCATCGAGTCTGGGGAAGACTGTGACAAGGGCTGCTTATTATTTGTGTTTTTAGGAGGAGAGGGTGGATTTTGAGAAGTCGTGTACAGCTGCATTATTTTATCTGAGAAAGGAATGTGAGCACCGACTGCTGGCATGCTCCAGGCATTTCCCCGTAGATCTCGTGGCCCTTTCCATTTATGACTTCGAGTTGAGCTTGTTCAACAGTTTGCTTGATTCCTCGCTGCTCTTCTAACTTGGTTGCCGCGCTCTTCGCTGGAGCAAGAATGAGCATAGGGACCTTGATCTGTGAAAGGACTCCTCTCGAGTCCAGAGAAGATAGGAATTTGGCGTAACCGGCCAGCCCCTCAGCCGATGATACTCCGACCTGATCTATCCATCAGTCCACATAGTTTTCGTCTTGGATTGAAATGGTACCCGGCACTTTGGACAATGCCTCTGCCTAGCCCCTCGAGCCGAGCTCACGGCAAGCTGTAGGCCAGTCTTTGTGGCCAAATGCAAATAATGATAGAGCCTTCGGGGGCAGAAATGTCGGAGAAGAGCAAATAATCAGAGATTTGACTCGTTCGGCATGCTTGCATGCGAAGAATTCACCGACCATGCCGCTGGTTAATTCTCCGAGGAAGTGAACCTGACGAATCCCAAGTTGGTCCAGTGTGTCCACTATCTCCTCACAGATTGTGTCAAAGGAGTAATCGTAGGTCCGTTCATCTGGTGTACTAGAGTATCCATGGCCACGAGTGTCACGTCTGATAACTCGATATTTTCTTGCAAGAGCAGGTACCCAATGGTACCAGAAGGCGGCATGTCGAGCAAATCCGTGCTGGATCAGAATGGTTTCGCATGGCAGCCACGGGTCCGTGAAGTTGTCAATGATGAGATGAGTGGTTTGGCCATTTGGATGTGTTATAATCTTTCCACGAGTCGCCGCCTGCATGGTTGAGATGCCGTCAAATTCGAAGGGGGACAACGGATGATGACAGGGTTAAAAGTAGGTCCTGGCATGTGGAGAAGAAAAGATCCCCATCCTTGACAACCAGTCCATACTGGAAGTCTTATCGTAGCGAGACACGCCTATACTACAGTATCATATAGTCCGTACTACCTTCTTTTCTTGTCAGCATGACAGCGCACCACACAACCTCGTCCGATGCAGAGTGTCCCGACCTGACCACCAATACCTCCGAACGGTTTCCATCATGGTTTACCAGTCTTTGCCTTTGTTCCTAGAGAAGGGTACATGTTTGGCGTTAATTCCTGGCCACACGCTGACCTGGCTTCGATTGTGAGAATATTAAGAAATGCACATCTTCCTCAGGTCAATAAGCTGTAGCAGTCGCCAAGGTAAAACAGGCTTCTTTTGTTCTGAAGAACTGGCGATGGCAAGGTTCGAGCCAAGCTATCAGAGACCTACGCAACGCAGCAGGTATAGAGAATTGGAGTAGCTGAATGCCTTGTTCTATTCACGTAGTCCTATTGACAACGACTCAACGCTTAAGAAAAAGGAAGAGTTCTCTCTCACCCGATTCGGGTGAGAGGAAACTCTTATAGCTTCCCCTCTTTTTGTCACGTGAAAAGGGTAGGGCAGCGTTAACCAATAGCCTTATTAACTGATAGCCTTGTGCTTTAGCTCTCCTTAGCTTGTGCTTCAACCATCCTTTGCCTTATCCTTTTCTTTCTATACCGTCCACCCGATTCGGGTGGAGGGCGTAGGGTACTTGGGGACAACGGTGGGCTCGTGCCACAAACCGAGGCTTACGTGGGCAACGCATCACTTCGCTTTACATCAAAGCGACATTGTTGGTTTTGATGGTGACTCTCATATTGGACACAGAACAGGAGTGGTTCTATCTGATTGATTTTGTTCGCGTCCCTCTACCTATTAGAGAGACTCTGCCTGTTTATTTGGCCTGTGATTCGAAGGCCTTTCCTGAAACCTCTTATTCCGTCGCCATGCTATCGTAGATCGACGAGGTCAACGATGTTGAGGTAAGTGGCGAAGTTGGTGAGATAGTTAACGTCTTAGGTGGTTTGTCATAGTGGCGATCTTGCAACCCTGTCAACATCTCATCACATCGTGGTTACGGGTGAAAGTTCAAGAGTCTGGCGAGTGTTAACGTGGTAACCCCTATTTGGCGTCCTTTCTGTCCACCAGCTGACTCTCCCAATCTCTGCCACCTATCACCTTCACCCTCAAGAGCCACCTTTTGATGAGACCATGGTCGTTGGAGACAATTCCCTACTAATGCAGCTCTTACCCAGCTCTGAGGCTCCGTAGAAAGCCTTTGTCTTTCTGATCACTCGGCTGCTGCCTGCGTTGGAAAGCTGATGAGGCCGTCAGCGGAAGGGGTTGCATCTGAGGCGGACCTATATCTGCCTCCTTTGCCACTTTCCAATGATGACTTAATTAAGGCCTATGTATCATTCTCTATCGTGACTTAGGACATGTATCACTAGCAACTACTGCTATTGTCCGGGGGTGATGACGTTCTACTGGTGAAGGAATGGTTTTCTCGAAGACAACAGAGACGTCTCCCGAGCCCGTTTCCATTGCTTAACCTAGATAGGATACCCATATGTAAGCAGCATAATTACAGAGGAGCTATACCGGCGATTGTGCTCGTAGAATCTTTCTGGTGTCTCGAGGAAATTGGCCAAAAGTTCCTTCGACTCGAAATCTTGAATTGGCTGATACTTGACGGCGCTCGTAGCATTGAGCAACACATGGCTCGATTTACGTAAATTTCGCCATCCAGAGCCGTACGCCGTGAAAAACTGGCGTTTCCCCCCACTCGCAACATTTTGAGCAAAGGGTGCCGGCGAACGAGACGAATAGATATTCGATTTCTTATCGAGGCAATCTTTTACGGCTTTGGGCGATGACAACCAAATGTAGTCGGTGCCACCTATCTTTGTGTAGAAGATATCCCCAAACTGCTGATGCCACTGCTTTGCCTTGTGTCTAACAAGCTCCGAATCTGCGAGGTCTAAAAGATTGCCGATGAATGGATATCCCTTGGGACCGGGTGGTAGGTGCTTTCGTCGACTGTCCTAAGGTTTACAGTCAGCCAGGTCCAGTTTGGTGTGAATCATGGCCAAAGTACCTTCCATGTGGTGGGTGTGTTGTAGAGATACAGTCCGAGCAGACCTAGCGGAAAAAGCAGTAGTGAGAGCAAGGCCAGCCTATACCATGATGCAACGAGGTTTCTCAGCTGGACGAGGGAGGATTGCGAGATCATGTTTGTTCATTCGCTACAACAAATACAACAAGCAATACTGTAGCTTATGATAACGGCCTTTCCAGACACCGGGATGATTGTGGTGGTTTCCGATTATTCTTTTTGATCTCCCTAATGAGTATTCCAGGCTCGGGCCGACCTATCAAGGGAAATGTGGAGGTGGCTGTATTTCTCGGGTAGAGATCCTGAAAACCACAATCCCCCCTTGTGGACCACCCCACCGCTGTCTCAGGGCCGCGAACTCATGGGACACATGGGGTGATGGCCAATAGGGTGGAGGTGTGTCCTTTCAAATACGACGAGAAGAAGCCGGCATGGTTGACTATACTCCTCGGCGGTAGCCATGACGACTTACCAAGTTGACCAGGAGCAGTTGAAATCGTTGTGAGGTAAGACTATTCTGATAACAGGATGTGCTTCTGGAATTGGGCGAGCAGCAGTTGAGTTGGCGCATCGTAAGTTGTCTCTGATAGAGCCTCTGCAAAGTGACTGATGAGGAAGAAAGAATATGGTACGAACCTGATCCTGGCCGATTGGAGTGAAGCGCTGTTGAGGGATCTTGCAGAAAAGCTAGATCACAACTACTGAGTTCACTGCATAGCGTAATGCCAAGTGGATGGGCTTACCTTTCTATCGTCAGCAATGTAATCTTCCAGAAAACGAATGTCGCACACTGGAATTATTTGATTCGGGTCTACCAACTTGGCTGGGAGAAGTTTGGAGCAATTGATGCTGTTATATCCAATGCGGGCGTCAGCTCGGGCGAAGTTCACCTCCAACACGACATCGATCCTACGACAAATTTGCTACGAGCTCCCCCGCTGGATACTCTGGAAATCAATCTGATAGCTCATATTTACATGACCAAATGTGTAGCTTATTACTTCGAAAGCAGGCAGGAAAGAAGTGCCAGATCGTCCTCACGTCTTCCGCGGCAACGTTCCTCGATACACCACCTCTTTACTTGTACTCGACTGCCAAAGCGGGTGTGCTGGGCCTAATGCGCTCTCTGCGAACAAACTTGCCAAAATCCAACATCGCCACCAATACTGTTGCTCCGTGGTTCACAGGTAAAGACACAGGCGCCCTCTCTCTCCTAGGCGAAATTAAAATTGACACTAATCGGTTGATGACAGCTACCCCAATGGTTCCCAAGGCACTCACTGATGTGTGGGAGAAACTGCCGGCCAACACCCCAGCCGGGATCGCGATTGCGCTGCTCTTACCAATCATCCAACCTGAAATCAATGGCAAAACCTTTTTTGTTGCCGGCAACGAGATTGTAGAGCTCGAAGACACTCTGGCTAGGAGCCAGCCTCAATGGATGGGAGAAGAGCTCAGCAGAAATGTCGACGAGGGCCAGAGGCGGCTTCTGGGCGCAGATCCTTTCGAATGAAACTCCCAATTTTTTATCATCGCAAGCATGGCGCATTCGCCGCTCTCGCGCCGAGGCGTGGGGTGATGAAACTCTGCACAGAGCCGTGCTTCTAAAGAAGCGGAAGAACTCAGATGTTCGGTCCTGTCTGTGGCGGTCGTTATACTATTCTTGGGAGGCTGCAACGGATATGCTCATCCGAAGAGAGACATAATGTGTGCCTCCTAGATTTGTACCCGCAATCTCGAAGCTTCCTCGTAGGCTTTGGCAAGCTCTTGTAATACAAAGCCAATCCGTGGAGTGACTGAAGAGGCACGTCAGCTTCATGTGACCCACAATAGGCATAGGTATGGTGGATATCAGTGAGCTATGGTCAAGCTCGGAATCAGTCATGCTGAAGGGCTGAAAACAGCAACAGACCAACAGTGCGAACAGGATAGATTGGACATTATGGCGTAAATCTTACCTCCCCAGACCCACGTATCGGTGAAAAATGGAGCCCAAAACCTTGTGACAGCTGCTGCTAAAGACTCGGTGCTTGTAAATCGGATTTGAGCTTCTGTCATGAGGCGATGTACCACTTTTATAGTTTGTCTCTCCGAGTCATTGACAAAATCGTGGGCGAGCTCTGCTTGTTCAATTGCGTGGATCCAGCGGGTGACGAACAGAGCTGGGTATATTTTAGATCGCAGCGCGAGCTAGATTCCCTGTCCTGGGGAGGGAAAGGGACTCACCTGTGTCCCAACCCGCGATGGCATGGTCTACCCACCACGTCAGTGCGGCGGTTTTGAGCGTCAGCAGCACTCCCACCCGAGCAGGAACGAAATGGCCTTCAACCGATCTTGCCACAGCCTTTGTGATTGATTCACTGCGAGGTTGGTCGATGAACAAGTATTTCGAGATGGCATCCACGATTTCACCACGTGTTTCCCTTAGCAGGATAAATCGGTCCAGAGTTGCAGTGAGCATACAAGCACGACTGTACGCAACCCGGAGAACGGCCATGCTGTTGAAAAGCATGGGCCCGTCGTCGTCACTCCAAGTAACCTCATTAGCATTCTTTGCGCTCATGAGGAGGTCTCTGCACCTGTTCAAAGCGGCTTCGGTCTCCATGATATCGCCCAGACCAGCCAATATGGTATGGTTCCCATGATCTCCCGGCAATATTCCAAGATTTTTGGCCGAGGAGATATACCAAATCTGCGTCGCAACTGCGTACATCGCGACAGCAGTTGCGAATGGGGACCATTTCCATGAAGTCTCTGGAATCTCTCTAGCAGTTTGGTCGTACATGAGCTTAGACATCGCCTCTCCCACACTTAATGGTGTTCCTCGAGGTTGATTGTGTTTCAGAAGAAGCCATTGCCTCTCTGAAGGAGCATCCCAGAGGTCTTGATCACCAGGCATTTCCAGAGTCGCAATTTGTGCAGCTGAAAATGCGGGGCAAAAACCGTAAGCGGTACTGAGCATATGGGATGAGATGATGATGCCGTAGAAGATCCTGATGTAATCGGTCAAAAAAAGACTTTGAAATTTTGGCAAGAGAAATCAAACCTCTTGGATGACTTTCGATCCAATCCTCCCATGTCGTATAGTTGACACTCTCACGAACGCTCAGGGAAGTCAAGGCCAAGTGACAGTCATGCGAAATAGTTAGTACAGATTATAATTCACCCGGGAATCCTCACCGTCCATTGTGCCGACAATAGTCCAAAGGCTCTCTTGATCAACCCAGCGTTGCCATTCAAGGTGCCAAATACAGCAAGGAGAAATCGCGCTTGCATCATCCAGAGAGGCAGAGACTTTGGCTGAGACATCTCCTCGGACTGTGGGTTGAATGTTTCAATGACCACCAAAGACTCATTTATGGCCATCCAAGCCGACATACTTCGATCGAACGCCTGTGACGCCTTGCGGTACATACTGATGGCTAATTTCCTTTCTAATCGGTACAATGCTCCAATCGCACATGATCAGAATCAGTGGACTTGATGTTTCTTCCACGGTTGTAGACGAAACATGAAGAATGGGCAGATGTATATGAAAGGCGTCAACATAGCTGCGCAAGCATTTTTCCAATACCAACGCTTCTGGACTTTCATACTCCCACAACTCGTCTTGGCTTAACCTGGTTGTCAGATCCGTGTAAAGTGCCATTCTTGTCTCTTGAGTGATTTTGAAGTGGGTTCTTTTGACTTGTTCGGGCTTTGTCGCCTCTAGAAGACTAGATAACGAGGATGTTGTCGAGGGAGGTGATGGGTCGGACAATTAGCTGGATCCTCGACCGGATTTGATTTTAATGTCAAGGTGTGAGCTTGCGAATGTGCCTGAGGCATCCTCGTCCCCAATGCCGGCATTATTAGTAGCGAAGTGTGTGAACCGAACTGTGCAATGTTACCAGCTATGTCCTGACTGTGACTGACAGGGTCTGTACGCTGTGACGCCGAAATTCCCAGTTGGGGCAAAATTGAGACAGTCTCGAGATGTCCGAGCTCGGTTTGAAGGCCTAAATAGTCTGAAGCATCATACGGAAGGCGGAGGAACGGCTCAAAAAAATCGAGGTTCGCAAAAGTGACATCTTGCGACAAGAGGGCTGTGTTGACTGCAGGTTGATTTAGTGATCCTCCCTGCATAGGTGAGTTTCCCTGTTGCCGAACAGGAGGGGAGTTGTTTTGCTGGCTGTTGACGATCGGTGAAAGATCAGACAAAACAGGTACATCAGTGTTTTCGCAGATTCCTTGATGATCCGCACAAAGTTCCTTGACGGAGTTGCCGTACGCGTCTGCTGTAGACGCTGTAAGACCGAGGTGAGAGTGTTGGTTGCTGGCGGAAGAATATAAGTCGGCGGAGAAAAGCAGGGTGTCAGAAGATGGGGTGACATGTTCGAAACTGTCCTCATCTAGCAGGTTGTTGGATTCTGGTGATCTCGCCTCCATGGAGACTGGCACTGTGTCCTCTGGATCTGCTCCCTCCGAGACATCATCCCTGGCCTGTTTGTTCTTTCCACCATTTCGCTTTGCGGCATGTGACGAGGTATACTCCGAGGAATGCAAAGTTCTCTCCCGGGAATACCGCTTCTGACAGTATCTGCAATGATATGGCTTCTCTCGGGTGTGAGCACGCTCGTGACGAAGACGGTGCTCGCTTCGCTTGAAGGTCTTGGAGCATACTTTGCAGGCATGTTGTCGATCAGCCGAAGGCTGCTCATCAAATACTATAGTCCCTACCCTCCCCCCAGTCACTGGAGACATCTTTCTATCTGCCGTAAGGCCAGTAGTCCCAGGAAGTCGAGCTTTGGTATCAGGATGTGAAGAAGGGAAGATGTCGTAAAGGTCATCGCCGTTGCATGTGATGTTGGCTCCAAGGTCGGGCAGGTTTGGCCATTCCAACTCTGAGAAGCTCTGAGCAACCATTGGTTGTGCAGATGGGACACGGACCCAGGGCGATTGCTCAGTGTCGAGAAAACGCTCTCTACCCCGCGCTCTCTGCTAAGGAGACAAGCAAATGAGATTCCCTTGCCGTGTGATGCGTTAATAGGGTGAAAGTCTACTCGGTTCTGGGGTCACTGAGGAAGAGAGAGAACAGCGACGCCGCTGGGGTCCACCGATGGCTCAGGGATTGGCTTCGGAGCCATTCTATGCTGCCTCTAGCCTAGCTAGGCTCAACGTCACAAAAACAAGTTGGGCGTCCCTTAACAACCCCCGCAATTTCCTTGTTAGGAAAAATGGGAGGGAAGTCCAACCTCCGTTGCCTTCCTGGAAGATTCGATAGGGATAGGTATTCTGGGCTTAATAAGTTGCATCAACGTAGCTTCACTTGAAATTTCCCTCTTCGGAGACAAGTATTGTTAAAGGCCATGGCAAAGATCGAGGTTCGACTTGATGTATTGACAAAGTTGAAAGGGAAAACCGTCTTGATTACCGGTATTGGAACAGTGCGTGGCTCTCAAGAGCGGATGAGAACTAATCATCGTGTTCTAGGCGGATCAAATGGCATAGGAAGGCAGACGGTTTTGATGCTACATGGTTCGATGATGGCTACCACCACCACCACCACCACCCATAATACGGCATGAATCAAGGCCAGCATCGACTGACACTTGTACGGACAGGTCTCGGGGCAGATGTTGTCGTTGGAGATCTAGATGTTGCAAGGGGTGAATCCTTGGTCAAAGAGATCGGCGGGTGAGCCCTTGTTGGATGCATCCCGGCGATAACCTCATGAAGAGCCCGTGGCTGACGCGAGACCTAGGAACGGTTTTTTTCAAAAGACAGATATCACCAACTGGGAGTCGCTTAGAGGCCTTTTCGGGGTCGCAAAGTCAAAGTACGGTTCAATTGATGTTGTCATGGCCAATGCTGGTGCGCCGGAAAGGCCCCCTTTCCTCTTCGACGAGTCTTGTGATGGGAATGGACTATTGAAGGAGCCCGACCTCAGCATCATTAACATCAATCTAAACGGGGTCATAAGAAGTACCTCGCGCAGTATATTCCTACCTGAGAGTAGTGCTGATCCAATTCTCGTAGCTGCCAAACTTGCCCTGCACTATTTTGCAAGAAATCCCATTCCCGGAGGTGTGTTGGTCATTACTGGGTCTGCAGCATCGTGAGTGTGCCTCTGTGCCCACGAAGGATACTCACTGATCCAAACAAAGTTATTTCGCCTCGCCGCCAATTGTACGGTATTGTGCGGCAAAGCATGCGGTAAGGCTTCTACGTCGGAGCTTTTCAACTCTTGTTGATTACTTCTCAAATGTAGCTGCTAGGTCTGGTACGCTCCACTGCGGCGATGACGAAGCCAGCGAACGTGCGGGTAAATCTGGTTGCCCCATGGATGACCGGTAGGACATCTCTCTCTCAGATGAGCATGCCAGTGAGAAATAGCGCTGACCCCTGGACGAAGAAACCGAGTTTAGCTCAGAAGCAAGTGAAATATGGGGTTCCATGCCCATAAACACGGCTCGAGAAGTCGCTGAGGCACTTTGTGTGGCTGCAGCGGACGACACTCTTCACGGTGAGCTTTCTACTACCCCATTTCTCATACATTCATCGTAACCCATACGACCAGGACGGGCACTTTATGTCGCTAAGGAAATTGTCGATTTTGAGCTACCATTGTACAAGGCCCAGGAGGACTGGATGACCCTAAAGCAAGCTACGTGGTTTGAACAAGGCAGAGAACGACTGGCACTTGGCATGAAGCTTCCGGGTGCCCATTATCTGAAGGATGCTGTGTAGGTCTAGTTAAGTGATAGAGAGGAGGAAAAGGGTGTTTAGAGCGGATTATCCTAACACGCTGGCTTACCTGGCTGACCTAGCTTGCATGCTCAGGGATCAAATTCGTGACGGCAAAGCTATAGAGTTAATGGCTTCCTGCATGGAATTGAGGATGAAGTTGCGAGGACCTTCGCATCCTGTGACCCAAAAATGCACTTGGGGCTTTTGTGACGTGGTTGTGTGCTGAGGATGTCGAGGGAAAGCAGAGTGCTTTCGCTATGTCTGGGCTCCGATTTATGAGGGTGTGCAGAAGGCCAGAAAGTGGAATGGAATGCATCGGGCTTCGTTACGCATGTCTCTGCGGGCCATCGCTTCCTTTTCAGACTCGGCCGACGCTGACTACTCAATTTTGTAGATAGACTTGCAAGTCAGGTGTTTCGAGTGACCCAATAATCCAGGACTTTGTCAAATTCGTTCGGAAGGACGAGATAATGGAATGGAAGGCCGTCCCCTCTTCTGTTGAAGAGCATTATGAGATCAAGCATGAGGATGCCAGCTAGGAATGTAAATCATATTTCCAATACCTTTGCGACCAGCTGTAAAGCGCTGGGGATATTTTTGTGGCTCTGGTCAAGTCGAGGGCAAACCGACTGAGACTTGCAGAGAGGAGACCGAATCAACCAAAATATATATCACACCTCACAACTCTGTGTCTCAAGCTAGACGCAATCAAGGATCGGTCGTTACCGATCCCTAGATAAACTTCGAATGAACGATGTTCGATGTACAACACATATACAGTAGCACGGGAATGTTCGCGAAAGGATGATAACGCGGAGAATTAGCCCATGAGTGTACGAGGTAGTAACTGGTATATTATGAGAAATCCGCCAAGGCCCTTGAACGGCACAGAGTCCCGATTGTTACCCTTGATTCACCATGTGGAAATGTATTTCCTGATGGACCTTTCTGATTCGAAGCAGAATTGAAAAAGATCCTCTTCATAGGAAGCTACTTCGAAGGAGAAGCCGGCGCATGGTTCCGACCCTTTGTGAAGGACTAAGACCCAGCTGGGGGGTCACGGGCGTGCTCTTCCCCCCCCCCGCAGAGCTCCCCCGTGCTCGCCCCCGGGTTATCCCTATCGAACTTTCTCTAGGCGGGGTTAGAGAACAGCCTAGGCACCAAACAGGGTTGGCCGCACGCGCTATTAGCCAACTTAGTTTAGCGCCTCCTGCAAAGTTTGGCAGCAATGCGTTGACATGCTCAATTTCAACTCATTGCCTGATTTTCAACACTCTGTTTCTTCTTTCTCCCGAAATTTTCATGTATCAGCATTGCATTTGAGAACGCGCGAGCTGTCGCATGTGCAATCATGTCGCAAGGAGAGATGGTCCCGCGCCGGGTCCAATTTTCTAGTTGTGATGAATGTCGCAGGGCGAGGGTTGCCTGTGATGCGGGTAGAGCCCGCCGGAACCGAGAGGACCACCATGAGCTTCTATCCTGCACGAGGTGCCTCAATCGGCAGCTCCCGTGTACATTTGAGGTTTGCATAGTCCCTTAACTGCATTAGCCGCCTATGCATGGCTGACCGCAGCCTTGTTTCCCAACAGTGGATGAAACCAGGCACGGGCAGCTCTGCAACTCACCGGAAAAGCCTGGAGGGAAGGCCCAAAAGGAGACGTTCGAAGATACCTGCTCAAGAAACGGCTATTTATGAAGAGAGCAACAGTGACATAACTGGCGACTCGCTCCCCAGTCTTGTTCACCGAAATTCGGAGAGTGCGACAACTGAACCGTCGAGAAGGTATGCTCTGACACCACTACTACTTCAAGTGCTTGTCTAAGGACTCAAGGACAAGCTATGAGTGGGGCTGGTCGTCGGACCAACTATCACAGCCTTTACTCATCCAACCTCATTTGACCCCCGAACCCATCAGCCCTGTTGAAGGCCAGTGGCTCCATACCATATACGAAGGGGCTTTTGAAACTATATTTGGATCTTGGATGGGCCGCTACAGCAATCCTTTCGCGTACGTGTAACGCCATCGGTTAATAATCTCGCGGAATCACTGACGGCAGTAGTTTTGGCGAACAGAGCCTATCGGATGTGATTAGTATACGCCGAGTTTGCAGCCAACTCGACCGACATATTGACGAAGAAGATGCTGTGTCAGGCACGATATCGGACGCTGGAGCTTCACCCGATCTGGCCAGACACGAGAAAGACACACAGCTCAATCAGTTCCTTGACCATGCCATCCAATCTTTCGCCGCTCGCTGGCTACCTCTGACCCACCAACTAATTTTGCCAGGACTATCCCAGGCCAATGTCGTCTGTCGTCTTTGGCGGCGCGCTCATACAGACATGCTCAAGGTCATCAACAGGCCGTCCTATCGGTCCATGCTGACTTTACTTTTGTTTGCTCTGACGCCCATCCCAGTAGGCATTTCCGAAGAGGAAGAACTTGAGGGCGTATCAGGACAGGTCTGTGTTCACGCAGCACTGCAGCAGATTCAAACGCTCCGCGCCCGTCAAAAGAGCCTTCAATTTAATGGGACACGCGTCAACCTCACCAACTCGAACCGCCCTATCGGAGCAAGTCCCGCCTCACTTGCCACAGCCAATTTCATCATTGCTGAGAGCACTGCATATTGGGCTGCTCTTACATTCGACACATCCGCCTCTCTGACCTTGAATTGCCGGCCATTACTTTCTTCTGGACTTTTCGGATTCGAGTCTGAGCCATCATGGCGCATGGTACGGACTTGCATCGGGATCTTCCGCGAAACGACGAGAGACTGGAGCAATGCCGACGTCGACCTGACAGATGAGAAAGCAAACCAAGTTATAGCGGCTGGAGCAGCATGGAAGTTGTTGGTCTGGAAGCTAACTGCGAATCTGAAAGAGTCTCTGAGAGACGGCCATGATGAGGCAGAGGTTCTCAGGGCATTCAACTCCGTGTCCAGCACTATCGACCAGTTTAACATCACCTACCGTGATTTGCTTATCGCGTGTCAGAGGCGAATACAGTTCTTCAACCAAGAAACGAGACTCCGCTGGTGTAAGTGCTCCCCCCTCCTTCTCCATACCCGAGATCCCATGAAATTGTTACTTAACATACCTATAGATGAACTCATGCTGCACTATAATCTTGCAATTCTGATGGTCACTGATATCGCGACTGCGACTCTACGCGAGGATCTCCTCTCCCTTTTCTCTGCAAAGAGAGTCGATGCGGAGACCTGGGTCATGAATTGCCTCGTCTTCGGCTTGAACAACAAATATACCTTGAAACTTCAGCCCGAGCCAGCCCTCTCTGATCCGGAGATCGCACCTAGTCAGTCGGCAAGCTTGACCGTCCCATTGATTGCGATTGATCCATATCCCCACCACGTCGTCGCGGCAGTGAAGCTCATGCAACACGCCATAGACAGGGACTTTGGAGCGGACAAGATTAGCGCAGACGCTTACAATAACCTGCGTTCAACGCTCAAGCAAACATTGGAACAACTACCACAAGTTTCCAAATCGGTGCAGACAACCAGAGCTGAGTTCGAGAGAGCTGAATCTCCACCCCAGCCACTATATCCATGAAACCGGAAGCGGTCGCGTGAGGGATGCTTTCAATAACCGCTGAATCGCCTCGTCAAATTTCCGGACAAGTCACAACGATCGATTGGAAATGGATGCACTCTCCCCTTCGATGACTGGTGAAGTCACACCACTCTCACGCTCAGTGCCCTCGACTCCGTCTTGCTGCGACTGGTACAGGCTGACACAGGTCTGGAGCCTAGGCTTGATTTGCTCAATTCAGAATGGGCGTGGGCTGATTGGGTGCTGTACTAACCACGCATTAGCGTGGGCAAAGGGTCTGGAATTCTGGAACGTTTTCCCTTGCTGGATCCAACCAGTAAATGTTCGCGGCACTATCGTTTGTCCGACCACGAAGTCATTTCCCCCAGCCTTTTCTCCTCCACATCTTGGTGTTCAAGGGGTCAAGCCAAAACTTGAAACTTCTGCATTCCGTTGAGGGGCAGAAGGACTGGGTCTTTGTGAGGTTGCATCCGGATCCGAGAACGACAGTTTCGGTAGCTTATCCTTGGGTCCTGGAACGATGCCACGTTGAGGTGCCGAATGTCGGGCACTAGCCAATGAGGCTCCATCGTGAGCAAAGGTGCTTCGGATCCGGAATCTGGGGCCCATGTTCCGCCACTGTGCACTCTCTGCCAAGAGATTCGCTCCCTAGTAGGGTTACCTCCCCAGGCAAATCTCCCCTACAAACACGCGGAGAAACGTGGAGTTGGCAGGGATCTTCGCTTCCGGCAGACTGGGCACATGTCAGAGGCTAACATTCAATGCCTGATTTTGGCCAGCGTTGACGTATCTATATAGCCGATGCGTTTTCCTCGAGATCAACACTTCCCCCGCCAGTCACTTCAGTCAACACTCATTCAAGCTCTCTGAGGCTGCAACAGAATCCATAGCCCAAATATATCGATCATGGCTGAAGATCTCTCATCAACGCCCACGAAAGGGGGTGAAGAGCATGTGGAGAAGCCATCCCTCAACGAGAAGACCGCTGTGTATGAACACGCAGTATGTGATTGTAGACCTCGAATATGGGCTTGCTGTCGTTCTTTCTGACAGATTGTTGCTATTACAGAAATCCAAGCACCATGACCCCAACTGGACGGGCGAAGGGTTGGACACCTCGCACGTTGACCCTAAAAGGGTCCTGCGCAAAATGGATTTACGCCTGATCCCCATGCTTGCAATCCTATACCTACTCTCTTTCCTCGACCGAGGCAATATTGGCAATGCGAAAATCCAGGGCATGGAAACTGACTTGGATCTTTCTGGAAACGAATACAATCTCTGCGCAACTGTTTTTGTGAGTTTCGTCTGTCTTGGTTCAATCACAAGCTAACGTCAATCGTCTCTAGTTCTTCACCTACTGTGCTTTTGAAATACCATCGAACTTGTTATTGAAGCGTCTCAGGCCTTCTGTATGGTTACCGTCTATAATGGTAGCATGGGGTATGTTTTTGAAGTATCGGTAGATGCAGATTGGAGCTGACAATAGTTAGGCACGGTCATGACCTTGATGGGCCTCGTGCAAAGTTACCACGGCCTTCTCATTGCTCGTATCTTCCTCGGTGTCACTGAAGCAGGACTTTACCCTGGTGTTGCCTACTATTTGACAATGTGTGAGTAACCATTTCAACTGTCGGTTCCTTGCCGTGATTTTTAGTTCCCTCCGAAGCTAACGTTGCCGTGGTCTAGGGTACTGCACTGAAGATCTTGCTTTCCGCCAGAGTCTCTTCTTCAGCGCTGCAAGCGTGGCCGGTGCCTTTTCAGGTTTACTTGCGTACGCCATCGCGAAGATGGATGGAGTCGCCGGTCAAGCAGGCTGGAGATGGATATTCATCCTAGAGGGCATTGTGACTGTTGTCGTTGCCTGCGCAGCTTTCTTTCTCTTATACGACTTCCCAGACACCGCAAGCTTCTTGAGTCCCGAGGAGAAGGCCTGGGTTGTTCACCGGTTGAAATACCAAGGAAGCAAAAAGAGCGGAAGAGTGGTTGCTGAGAGTGACCACTTTGACTGGAAATTTGTTGGCAAAGGCAAGTCCTTCCACGCACGTTTTGATTTTATCCCAGTCACATCGAAACAATCGGCCAACTTACCTCTTATCGTATAATCCGGCTGACCATCCCAAAGCGCTCACTGATTGGCAACTATACCTGTCACTTTTTATGTACTGGGGAATAGTTTGTCCGCTTTACGGAATATCGTTCTTCCTTCCGACCATCATCAAGGAACTTGGGTACAAATCGACAACGGCACAGCTTCTGACAATTCCGATCTATATCTCAGCCGCAATCTTGGCCGTTATTGTCGGGTGGTCATCTGACAGAGCAACCAAGCGAGGCGCCTCACGCTGGCCCTATATTTTCATTCCCATGTGCGCCATTTTGGTCGGTTTCATCATCGCCATTGCTGGCTCTGCCGCAGGAGATATCCCTGGCGTGGTGTATGCTGGTGTATTCATCGCCACATGCGGAATCTACCCTGCTTTCCCGGGCAACGTCACTTGGATCGCAAACAACCTCGCAGGGAGCTACAAACGAAGTGCTGGAATGGCTCTACAGATCGGTCTCGGCAACCTTGGAGGAGCCATGGCAAGTAATTTCTATCGCAGCGTCGATGCACCAAAGTATTTACTTGGCCACGGTTTGGAAATCATGTTTGTTGTCTTGGGCCTGGCGGCCGTCGTCACACTGAGGATCTCATATGGAGTGATCAACAAGAAGAGGGAGCGCAGTGGAGCAGCTGAAGGTTACACAGACGAACAGCTTGCAGATCTCGGCGACAAGAGCCCGTCGTTCAGATACACACTTTAAATGGATTTGGGGATATCCGAAGCTGCAGATCATCAGATGATAGGTACAGGTGGGATGCGTCTGTTTAGAGCTCGCTCTGAATCGAGGCTTTTTCCAGAACGTGCTCTACTGTTACTCTCAGGATTTTCTCCATCATTCGGGGAAAGATTGTTATATTATCGAAAGCTTGTGGACGGCAACTACTGATCAGCGGACGTCATCTTTCTCACGTTGGAAGACGACCTAATGTGGCCTGCGACGAGCATTTTGAAACGGCGAGGTTTGGCTTCACGGAATCGTAGAAAAAGCCTTGAATGACAGTCAACAACGCAGTTTCCATTGCTGATTTCAAGTAATTGGAGACTTCAATTGCCCAAAGACGGTTACATGAATGCTCCTGTTGCTTCGGCATCCGTTCCCTACAATATCCCGGGCTTCGCTATTTGCGACTTCTAAAGCCAAATTGTTGAAGCTGATCAATTAGCTTTCATCTAGGATGTTCAATCAAACTTAGCCCTCAGCCGCTCCGACTCGACGTTGCCCGCCTTTTTGCGGTTAGAAAGATCCATAGCCGTGGCGAATTGCGGCAAAGGCGCAAATCGAGTATTCTCTCCTTTTGCGCACAGCCTTGCCAACCGCAGGGGTGCCGCAAAACTTTGAGAACTTACTGATGGCTCTGTGCAACAGGCTCGGGATGGCGCTGGCCTGTTTTCCCCAAAGTCGAGTTTTGCAGACGCTAGTGAATTAAACCGATACAAGCCTATACTCCGCAGATCGCCGTGCTGTGGAGGGTGTTGTTCTTTCGGCACTTCATCATGGCTAACGGCAACCACAAAATTCTCCGTCCTCTTATATAGTATTTACCGAGTTGCGGGGACACGAGACTTTCTATAGCCGATTTACCCCAAACCAAGATCTTAACGATCGATCAGACTTTTTAACAGATAGAGGCTTGGGAAGAAGCCTGAGTGCCTCTTCGATTCCGAGGGCGAAACTGTCAGTGAGAGGTGTCTTCATTGAAAGCATGGCTCAAGTCAATCTGAAAGGAAAAGGGGCGATTGTTACGGGGGGCGGCTCCGGTAAATACCGCTGCCGACTGACTGATGCACTACAGTGACGCTGACTGTCTATGCATCGACAGGCATTTGTTTATCCTTCGTCCAACACTTGTATCGTGCTGGTTGTAACGTCCTTATTTGCGATCTTGGCCTCCATCGCGAGGCGTTGGCATGGCTTGACACGATTCAAAAGAACACCACCGATCCGTCACCCGGGCCACGGGTCGTCTTTTTGAAGACCGATGTATCGGACTGGAAGCAGCTAGAACAGGCGTTTGAAGGCTATGCCAGGGAGTTTGGGGGCGTGCCGGATGTGCTGTGCCCCGGGGCCGGCGTCTACGAGCCCTCGTTCAACAACTTCTGGAACGACCGCGACGACAGCTACTACCAGATGCTGCGCATCAATCTAGAACACCCGCTCAAGATGTCGCGCATCGCCATCAGGAAATGGGTGCAGCGAAGCAAGCCCGGTATCATCGTGAACGTGTCCAGCACGGGAGCACAGAAGCCGAGCATGCTTACGCCATTGTACGGAGCAGCGAAACAGGGCGTCAGCAACTTCACCAGGGGCATGGCGCGGCTGCAGGACATGGAGAACATCCGCGTGGTTGCCGTCGCCCCGGGTCCGACCATGTCGCCTCTAATGTACGACCACCCAGAGGCGATGCGGTTCGTCGACCCCGAGAAGGACAAGTTATCGCACCCGGACGAGATTGGTCGAGGAATGATGGCCGTCGCTTTTGACCGGGAGAGGTTTCCCCCGGGAACGGTCCTCGAAGTCACCCATCCTGATCGTTGGAGGGAGGTCTTTTTGCTGAACGATCCAGGCCCTGGGCCGCATGCATTCACTAGCAGAAAAGAAGAAGGCATGGCAGATGTCTACGCAGCGCTTGACACTGACAGGAAGAGTGCCGCCCAGTAGAGGACATTGTGGTACGTTATGTGGCGCGCAAGAATTCTCCAGGTTCGAATACCGAGTGGGTAAAGTCTAGCTGACCCTCGGTGGGAAAATTTACCACGGAAGCACAGCTTGAACCAGCTGTACTCAAGGTGGTGGATGAAAGACCAAAAGAATTTTTATACAGACATGGGACAAGGCGCTGAAACGCAACTCATATCACTTGTCTCCTGAATGATTCTCGACGAAATCTAATGCCTATATACACTGCTTTATCGAATTCTAAATCTCCCCCTATGCGTTGGCGCAGGTCGATTGAAAAGGGAAGAATCTTTCTATTTCCCATTGATGCTGCTGATTCCCTTGCGAGCAGAATGGGGGAAGCAAATGCAAAGAAGATGCCTTCTTCTCGATGAAAGCTCAGTGTCCAACCGCCTGGGCTGGCTCAATAGTAGAGAAACACTGCCTCTGGATGCTCCAGGAACCAAGTATCGTCACCACCTTCCATCTCCCTGGTGGAAAAGCCGTTGCCCAGGTAGGAGAAGCGATTGTTGGTGTGGTAGGTGTACTCGTAGTCCTCGAACTTGGGCCGCTCGAGCGCGTGGAACCAATGAATTCGACTTCCTGGATGGATCGCAAGAACGGGCCCGTCCTCTGTCCCGTTCTTGAACCACGATCGGCACTTCGCCGCCCACGCTGTCCGGGGCATAAAGTGCTGGATGTGCGTGAGGAAGTCGTCACACGCCGATTGTTTTACGTCGTATGTCCGGATCCCCTCTATCTGGGCCTTAGTGAGTAGCTGCATGATGTACTTAGAGCATTGCTCCGTGATCGTGAAGACGCTGCCATGCGAGATAGGAGCGTTAGGACCGAGGAAGACTAGCGATTTTGTTAGCCTTAAGCCTTCTTCTTGCTTTTATTTGGTGACAAAGGACTTTACCGAAGTAGTTGGGGAACTTTGGAATAGCCATGGAAAGGTATGCGTATGGGATATTCTTTGACCACACATCGTCCAGACTTATGCCTTCTCGTCCGATGATGGGAAAACGGGGTTTGAAGGACACATCAAAACCAGTTGCACAGATGATAGCGTCGAGTTCGATGTGTTCACCACTTGACATGTTTATGCCGGTGCTGTCAGCGCTGACTATACTGGCATCGGTGATGACTCGAACGTTCTCCTTTGTGAAGCTCTCTAGGTAGCCTACGCCGGGCGTGATTCGACGGCACCCAACTGGGAAGTCGGGAATAACCTGCTTAGCAAATTTGCGGGCTCCTTCTGGACCAAGCAAAGAGATCATGCTGTTATATGCCATCTTTCGAACTTCGTCTGCTTTTTCGCTCCCGTTCACAAGCATTAGAAACTTACTATTGATCTCTCGTTCGACCTGCTTGCGGAACGCAAGGTATGACTCGGGATCGTTTCGGAATTGCTCCTTCTGTTCTTCACTAAAACGATCCGGCATTGAACCTCCTCGCAGAGATGGATATCGAGACGCAGCGCCAGGAGTCACCCAGGTGGGCGACCGAATGATGTGGACAAGTTGCTTCACCTTTGGCTGTATCGCAGGCACGATTTGGATCCCAGTCGAGCCGTTTCCGATAACGGCGACCTTGAGATTGTCATAACTCCAATCTTCGGGCCAATTTGCGCTATGAACCAGTTTTCCTTGAAAATCATGGAGACCGGGAATGGCTGGCCACCTCCAGTTGTTCAAAATGCCACCAGCGTTAATGAGGTAATTACACCAGTCGGTGAAGATTGTCTGGTTGGACATGTCTTCGATCTCGACATTCCAGATTGCTTTAGCTTCGTTCCAGGTAGCTCCAATCACACGGTGATTCATATGCATATACTTGGCGAGGTCGTATTTATCGACGCAGTGTTCAAGATACTCCCTGATCTCGGCAGAAGGAGAAAACATTTCTGCCCAATTTGGGTTGGGCTCCCAGGCGAACTGATAGTTGTGAGAAGCTATCCAGAAGGGTCAGCCTTGGTTTTGGACAATCGGATACAACAGCACTAACGAATGTCACACTTGCAACCAGGATATCGATTCTCGAACCAAGTTCCTCCGATTGCAGGGTTCTTTTCATAGATGATCAACGTCGAGTTCTGCATGTTCTTCTGGAACTGATACGCAAGGTTGATGCCGCTGGCGCCCGCACCGATACATATCACACGAATCGGGCGAATAGTCCCTAGAGGCTCTTCGTTCACGGTGTAGTTGTCTGATATTGTCAGATGTGGAAGGTTTCCCTTAAAAGCTAACAGGGAATCCCGGGCATCAACACAGGTTCCATTGTTGAGATCATCTGCAAGGGAGTCGCGATCCTTGCCTATACCGTTCGACTGTGTTGTCTTTATCGAGATTTGGTTCGGTGAATATACAGGAACGATCGCCTCAGGAGTCTCGACCGATGGCGCCATGGTGAGAATTTCTATAGGTTACTTTGCGCAACAAGTTCTGAATATCGTGCTCTTGCCTAGTTGATCATTTAAAGGCGAGAGAAGATGTGTTCTCCCAAAGTCTTTGTATCCGACCACCCCCCGTGTGGGTCCAATGTCGCTATCATACCACATCCGGCTAAATGAGATGAAGAGCCATCGGCTGTTAAATAGCCACCGGGAAACTTGTGTCGAGGCACGCTGCCAACCTAATCCTTGATCCAATATATCTGGATGCCTCAGACTCGGGCCGGAGGAACCTATAAGCGACAGAGAGCTGGGCGCAGAGGACCGAGGCTTGGATGCCAAAGCTAACGCCCCGGCCGTTGGTAAACAGCTTTCGTTGTCTCCAAACACACCACGAGCCAGGCATCCCTGTTCCAAAAGAGGAAACTTGTAAATCTACTTCGAGATACAAAAGCGTGTGAGTGCACCGAATTGAATAGGCGATCTTCAAGGAAGCATCAGATGACTGAAACGCGGTGACCTCTAGACTTCACTTGGGATCCGCCGACTTGCAAGTTGCAACAGCAACCAGTGCAACACGAATACAGAGTTCGATGTCGTTTTACTGCTATCGTAAAGAACAGTGGCCTTTGAGCAAGGATCAGTGCTTGTGGCAAGTTCCTTTGTCATGTTACCAATGTTCGGCTTCATCCTCACGCGGATTGATCATTCCTCTGATTCAATTCTCCGCTGAAATCCCATATTACAGGTGAGTATTCCTATCACAACTAGCGCGGCTGAGCTGAAGTAGGGAATGAAATATCATTCACAGCAAGGCCGAAATCCAAATCGTCATACGGGTGATCGAACATGTTTTGAAGCTGTAAGCTGAGATCGTTTGTCCATTCTGCTTCCACGAAAATGGAAGGTGGATTGTGAGTAAAAAGCACCGAGAAAAGTGGGCTCGTATCAACTGTTGCATCCGGGAAAAATTCGCGGTAATTGATCCCGTCCTCGATGTTTAACTCATTCAACTCCAGTGCCTGCGAGAGCTGGTTGCCCACTGTCTGGGATGAGGCAGCGGATGCGTCCGAGCTGAAACCGCTGAGCAGCCTTTCAAATCCCAGTAAAAACATTCTTGCGGAATGCCACAGCTTCGACATTTCCCTCAGAGCAATGAATAGAATATCGATTTGCGCGTTCGCGACATTCTTTAAAGATTCGATCTGACGCGCATGTAGCAGGGCAAGGATTGCGATGCTGATGTACCAATTCCCAATGCCTGGAAGGAATGCAATCGATCCCCGAGCCAGGAGGTCTTCAAAGATCCGTGCGACGCACGAAGCTGAAAGAACAGCTGCGCCATATGCCTTGGGAAGAGGTTGAGTCGAAGCACTCATATAGAGAAGGGTGATGGCTGACAAATAAGGCAGATGAAGCTGGTGCACATCCCTGTCAAAGTCGGTAGTTGTCACTGTGCTGAACGACAACCTTAAGCGTCGAGGCAAGGCATTCACCCATTTAATCAGCCTCTGTGCGAGCTCGAAGGTGGATCCGGTCTCATCATTCCGATTTCTCAAGTGCTTAGATAAATCTCCGATGATCTCGCAGACTCGGACCCAGTGTATGAAGATTTCAGCGTTGTCACGTCGGTCATGGGGGAACTCATCCAAGCTCGGAAGTTTGACGTTAGTGTCCTCCGGATGGATGATGCACGGGCGCCCTTGACACACCGACGTCAAGCGTTCTCTCGACCATGAGGGAATCAGCAACGTAGTTGACGGGAACATCAAGACTTACAAATAACGTCCACCATATGCAACGTCTCAGGGTTATTGTTTCGCCTAGTCTCATCATCTGCCCTGGAGTTGCCTCACGGTGAAGGCCAATCTCCTGGGCGAGACGGATCGCAAGGGATGTCCACCAGTATTGGCTGTCCATGCTGACGACACTTGGGGGACCAGCGCTCCACCAGTAGGTGAGGATGATTGAAATAATCCTCGCCAATGGATTTCGCTCCGTGTTGCCATGGAATAATACCTTGAATCTCTCATAATGTACACGTGGGGGCTGATGGCTGAGTCTAGGGGGCCTGATTGTTGTTCCTAAGAGGCCCAAGGCTTGTTGTAGGAGCAAGGACCGCGCGAACGGAGACCGATCGTCAATGAGGTCCTCACGATGCACGACCGGACACCACGTGTAGCAGAAGTCTACGAAAGTCTCGGCATAACTCTGACGCAAGATGGGAGACAATTCAGGGATCGGATGACTCGGCGTTATCAACGTGCCGATGCCCTGATCAGAGTCATCGCGAGGGGGGTGGTTGAACATGGACATGAACCCAGACTGTCCCAAGTAGCTGCGCTCACGGTGGGTTTCAGAGAATGGAGGGGGCCTTGGGGTGGTCTGTCCTGCACCACATGGCCCGCCAGCATTGTCACCTATTGTGCTCGTGAAGGATTGGCCTCCTCCAATCTGCACCACAGCATTGTCTCTAGGGGCGCTTTGAGATGGATTGGATGAGTTATAGCCGTCTTGAAGTGACGGGCCGCCTCGACAGGTGCTGTCAATGTCCGATGGTGGCAGGACCGTTGCGCTGGCATGCTGCCGTTGAGGAGCGCCCCTGCGTCTCGATTGTCGAGCACTGCCGCTTCCTGAGCAATGTGCTTCGAAGAGCGATCAAAGAGCTATTAAACATATCCCACTTACATGCAAGAGGAGTTGGTCGCTCGACAGTTGGTACATTGGCTGTCGGCTGTAGACAAGTTAAGGTCACATTTGATCTGGTATAGGCCACTATTGATTAACTTCATGGCACTCGTTTTGGCTCGACGGCGAATTCACCTTCTTCTGGTGGCAACGCAGACAGACCAGGTTAGCTCTCCGCTTGATCTGGCGGTTCGTTCGTGCGGTTATTTCAGCCATTCTGGGAGCCGATAAGCCTTGGGTGGGAAGACGAGGAAGAGGTTTACCGGGGGTAATATTCCCGGCAATGGCTTTTTATATGGTCCATTCCAACTGGACTGTCTCCGTGCGGCGTTTTCGGCACCACGGCGATTTTCAGACGAATTATGCAACTAAGCTGCATTGAAGAAGACGAACCAACTCGGCGGTTGTCGGCAGCTCGGCATTGAACATTGCAGTACCGGTTCCAGGGTATTAATAACCTTCCAGATCAGACTAAGATAGTACGAGTTCGGATAATTGATATCGCGGCTCAGCAAATATTCTAGCCCAGGGCGGAGGTTTTCCGCAAGGCTGTGATGGTTAAATCGATGGGATCAAGAGCTATCAAGTGCTACTCGGTATTAAAGTAGATGTTCTATAGCCAGAGTACCCACCTGCGTTTGAGAGATTATATCCAGCCAAGACCGTATACCATTTCCTAAATTAACGACGAGGTGTGGTCGTCACGGCTCTGAGGTATCTGGAATGAACTTGATCACTCTTGTCTCTCACGCCAAAACTTTGTTGTGGCGCTTGATGATGCAAATTCTCTCTAGATCTCTGGCCAGACCTCCCTGTATGGGCATCGCGTTGTCTTCGTCTGCGCTGAACGGATGCTCCTTGAAGCGGCCGCCGGAGGATTCGTAGGCGACGGGGAGTCTTCGTCCAGTCCGTCGGGCTTCGGGATGAGATGAGGGTCGTAGCCAGCCAGAGACCACCCATCCTGTGTGCGGGTCCATGACTGAAAGAATTTCGAACCTCTGCCCGGTAGGGTCTGTATATCTCCAGCCTCCGTCATCTCGTACCGAGAATTGAAGTCCAGTCCATACTTAAGGGCGTACGGAATTGTCAGGGCAAACTCGTCAAGGGGCAGTGGGCGGTAAATCAGCCTCCGAGATTCTGCCAGTCTGATGTAGTCTATCAGACCCTCGACAGTCTTTAATCGTGCATCGACACTGTGCATGTATTGTCTGATCCTGGCTCGGTGAGTCTCCAGTTCTGTATCCAGGAGTGAGATGAACTGGTATTCTGGGCTTGCGTTACGAACTTCGGGGTCTTCATCTAGGTAGAACTTTGAGTTCTTGACGTTGGCGATGAACTGATCTTCCAATTCGTACTTCCCCGTAGTCTCGTTGTAGACAGTCGACATGGGAACGTATTGCATCAGCACAGCTCTTCTCCAGGAATATATGGAGTTCCAGAAATCGAGCATCATCAAGGCATTGAAGACCTTCGGCGATAGCAGCGATGTAGGAGCCTTCCCTGGATTGCTTTTGATATTCTGCATGATGAGCACACCCTGCGCATCCTCAAACGAAGGTTGGAGAATAGTGAACATCATGTCTTCAAGCTCTCTCCCCTGGACCTGTACGAACAGTGTCTTCTCGAATGAGCTAGTCTGTTTTCCACCTCCTAAAGTTCCTTCGGGCAGATGCAGCCCTTGGTGATCCGCAGGCACTTCGCGGACGTCTTGGATCACCGCCAAGCCCAGATTTTCGGAAGCTTGCAGGTAGTCGGTTTTGCTGAACTCAAATTTGGGGATCTCAATGTCTTTCTGGACTCGGTCAGCTACCAGATAGAGAGGAGCAAGACAGATGACTCACAAGCAGGTCTGTTGCGGAATACTGACTAAACATCTCTCTGTTGTAGAAGTGGTTTGCTGGTGCACGCCATTTTTGCCCTATCGTTTGTGCCACTGCGATATTGATGGTGGTATTGAGGAGAAGGTGAGCCATCCATCGTCTTACGTTTGATGGGTTTGATCGAAGCCGATTTCCAGAGTCGAGAAAGTCTAGGGACTTGCGAGTACTGTACCATTTGCTTATTCCCTTTTCGACAATGGATTCGAGACTTTCGGCGCTCTTCACGAGAGAAAAAACTGAGCCGGTACTTTGATCTGTGAGATACGGGGCCGTCTTGAACCGGTTTTTAAGTCTTTGTGGCATATTACTGACAAGGCTATGATTATCTGTATGCCAGTGAGGCCACGGTCTTTCTGGACATTAGCATGGAATCTTCGCAGGATGAGAGCAGTCTTACTTGTGGAGCTCTTTCATCACAAGGGCTCCGTTGACATGACCATTGAATGGCCCGAGGTATGACATCTCATCGGTAAACGCATCTACCGACGCGCCTTGGTAGATCCATCCGCTGGATCCTGGGGAAGAACTTCCCTCAACAAGGCCTCGCTATAGTAATTATGTAATTAGTCGGAATTCATAAAGTTTGGTGGTTCTTGCCTGGTAAAACCGAAACATCCTAGTGTCCCAGCTTGCTATCTGCAGGAATGCTCTTTTGGAGTCAAGAGCACTCGATCCGACAATACACAAAGTCCAAGAATCAGGGATCCTGTCGTCGAATGGCTTTTCACTCCCAGATGCCGCGAATGCCACGAACCGAAGTGCCTGATTCAGCCAGGTTACGTTGTCTTGCGTGATGGGAAAGTCTCCCCCATCAGCTACACTGAACACCGACAGTGTATTCCTCGGTGGACTAGCTTGCGAACCCTCTGTTGATCACAGACATCAGAGTTTGTTCCATTTGAAGAAGTGAATGTTGAGGAGCTTTGTGGAATTACCCCATAGCCCCATCATGAGGGCATCGAAGGAGAGCACATCACTATTCTGATCTTGTTGAAGCCATTTGCCAAAGAAATCTATAAAATTTGTGTTCAGAAAAGCCGGATCGGCAAGCCGATCTATATCATCGCCCTCGTGGCGTGTAAACGTGCGATACCACAAGTTGGGTTGAGCCATATTAATGCTGGTAAACTGAGTAAAGTCCTCTTGATAAGAAGCAGACGAGGATCAGTTGATGAGAGACAGGGCAAATTGTGTTGCTCACGGGCGATAAACCCTGGCGGGATGTCTCATAAAATTGAACGGGAGAGTCGGAAGCTCAAAATGCGGACGCAGTTGAGAACCCAGAACAAATTCCCCAACCCGCAATTGTCAACAGCAGCTGTAGCTCAACCTGGGGTGTCAATGGATACGAACGGCGGTAGCGAGGACCGCGCCAAGGCAAGTAGTCTGGCCAGTGAAGCAGCCTCAGCTTCGTCCTATCTTGCGTGACGAGTTGACTCCGTGATATGCATCGAAGAGGCTGGCCAATGCACCTTGCTGGACATCTCGTCCAGACCCTCTCGGCACGATCCCATGGTGCCGGAAATTGCACTGTCATTGCATCCAAGCACTCTCTACTGGAGTTGCTAGGATTGGGGGGGAGCGCCCAGGGTTTCCCCATGCATGAAAGTGGCTCCGCCGTGTTTCTACCGTCAATAGCTGATCAGCTGCGGTGATGGCTTGCTCGTATACCACAAAATTCTTTCTTTGGTGTAACGTGGAGAGAACTTGATCGCTGATGGCTAAGAAAATGTTTGTATAAGCTGCAGCTTGCAGACGTCTTGGTTGCGGTCTGGAGCCTCACTTGCGGGGAGGCGGCCTTGGCGGGACGTATCCTGGGAGGGACTGTGGTCGTCAGGCTGGGATCATGATTGGTGCCTACCGGGAAACTCCTGGAACTCTGGCAGCCAGCTTCAGCTCTATGCTCGGACTCTACATCGAAATGCGCGCCTTGCACTTTCAGAAGCCATCTTGGCGACTTGGCCGTCAGTGGTTCGTTGTGCAAAATGTCATCTGATGGTTGAAATGGCGCAAATACCTCGTGTCCATCTCCTCCTTTGTGCAGCTGAAAGACGCCGAGACTTGCAGGCTTGGAAGGTCACTCCCGTTTGAAAACAGACGAAGGCGAGATTCATTCTATGCTACATTTTCACCTCGGCGTCGCCCTGACTCTGTTCACAGCTTCTCGTCCCGTCGAACCCAGACCTTCGCGAACCATGGCCGGAATCCATGCTGAAACTCTACCTAGTTTCTCCTCTCCGGGAAATGTCGATGACTTAAGTCCACAGAATCGAGCGGGGTGGTCGGCTCTGATGTCAGGCTGGATAGACCTTGAAATCCAGAGAGGTACAGGTAGTGGAAGCCCTTTGACACAATTCTTCAATGGCACAGTCACAGCCTACAATCAGAACCAAGCTGGTGCCACAATCACTTGGACTGGCTTTCCAAACAAGGTTCGTCCGTTCTATATCTTGCAGCTGGTAATTGACATCACAAAGATTGCCATTGCCGAAGGAGATGATGACGTGAGGCGATGGAGAGCAGCAGATGCGACCCGCGATGTACAAGACGAGTACTTAGAGTGGTCTCTCATTCGTAACAATGCCGGCAACATCATTAGGGTGGTCTTCACTTGCGAAGGCCCAGAAGTACGGCCCCGTCGCCTTTCTGGCGACAGCAGAGGTTGACTGATTGGCAGTATTGGAATTTCTTCGCCGCTAAGGAGAGGGATGGTGCGGTCGAGAAGATCAAGTCCCTGAATCAGCCGTTGCTTGATGATGTACCCAAGAGTAGCTTCTTTTGGCCCAATCAATCCGACCCCAGCAACGAGTCCAAATGGGTCTACAACCCCGGAAATCAGTACAATAACTCAACGGCAAGTGGAACGATTACGCATCTTGTGCAGGGTGCCAATACACTGCGCGCTGAGATCAACATCGCGGCGCAAGCAACGATTCTACGCAAGACAGCCTCAGGTAACCCAGTTTCAAACTCGGACCAACTCATTCGCTGCTCAGGATTCGGTGACCCTGATCGAAACTCAGATCCCCGTGTGAGTGCTTCGACTGTAACCTACGGTGCGTTCTGGACTAACAGAAGTGTTTAGATTGGTTACGGCATCAACCAACTCGCATCTCAGGGCAACGCAGTTTCTCTCAAAGATCCGGTGGCAATATACATAACCGACCTGGATACGGGGACCTTGAAACTGGATCGTTACGGGGACACAAGCCGTCTGGAGGATATTCCCGAGGGGACATTCACATTTCAAAGAGGAGACATTACCAAGCAGCAGGGGCTTCGTCTGCGCGTACAGATACCGGACGGGGAGAAGGCTCCAGATGGGAGACAGCTCACTGTCAGCGACATTTACGATACTAAGACCCAGCGACACATTGGCTTTGGAGCTCAAATTGCTGACTACATCAAAGTTGGAGTGCACGGCGTGGTCATCGGGGGAGTCCAGGTCGCACCAAGAGAATTCTGCCCGTCGTTCGACACTGCCAATACTTCGTTCACGGATATGGTGCCTCAACTCAAGGCAGCGATCGCAAAGCAAGCGTCACCTCACAATCGGGTTACAGACCTTAATATGCCACGGGCGATTGGAAAGAAGGCAGATTCTGGGCATGAGTAGCGACTTCGCCACTCTACCTTTTGAACCTTAGGTGATTGATAGTATTTCACAAAATTTTGACTTACTCTGGCATACATGGCCCTTTCCCACTCCAAACCTAGCAGTTTCTATCGCTCAGCTATTCACAGAATTTAATTAACTTGTCGAATAAGTCACCACAAGCTCTTACACATAGATCTTGCCTTCTTCCACGAGTTCGGTCTCAGGCGATCCCGCAATGCAAAATGTAAAACCTTACAGATAAAGAAATCTTGACTAGAACAGATACCAGCCCCCCCCCCCCCCCCCCCAATTAGTGTCTAGCATCATCTATCGAGTCACATACTCTGAATTTACCACATGACCCTTCCTTCTGTTCGAGAACGTCGGTTCTATTAGCCAAGCAATATAGCTGGATGAGGCCAAGCTTAGCTGAACCTTCCAACTCAAGCTTTCTAAGCTACATTTTGGCTACTCTCTTCGACACTTGGGCGACTATAGGCAGTGTACGAGTATTGGCATTCTGGACTCGCTGCCGGCTTCCGTAACGACCGAAATCAATCCGTTCTTTATCCTTCCCCAGGCTTTCTCAACTTCCCATGACTAGTCATGTTCGGTTAAACGGTCAACCCCATGTTCAGCTGAGTTTGTAGTGGTTTCGACTTTCGAAACTGCCTTTCGGACTCGCTCAAATTTGTTCCCCGAGCCGACCCTATAAAAAAGACTACGGATCGATTCTGCTGGCAGATTGGGATTGTAGCCGTTTCCCTTACTGGCGGGACTTGACAATGGTAAGACGGAGCGTAGGACCTGGGGAATATTCTGGTAGAGATGCAGAATACCAACAGGAGCTGAGTTCGGCAAGAAAGTTGCATTCGAAAATTCTACTCTTCGGCTTTGGATTCCCATATCAGCTCTAGAACTGTGATGACGTTCACCAGGAATAAACGGGAGATATATAAGCCGCAAGCTCAACCAGCTGGCTTGACTTCTGATATTCGTTCCAATCTTCTGCTTGCCCTTCCACAGGGTCGTTAAACATGGTAAGTGCAGAAGGTCCTACAGTCTCGCTATTCGCTGGTCACCGCTGACCCACCTGCAGGCTTTCTTTGAGGAAAGTTTCCCTGGTCCGGAACATAACTTAACTGTAGAGCATCACGGACAAAACACAAACTTCGATGCTTCTTACAATACGTTAGATCGGCCTGCTGTGGCAGCATGAGTACGTCCATCCGGCAAATTTGTTTGACGGTTGGAGCTTACAAACACTCTATTACAGATTTAATAACTTCCAAGCTGATGCCAGGTCCGTCCACGTAGATCACCTGGACCGAATTACTCATCCAAATGCTGCACTCAACAAATGGGTCTTCATTACCGCTATCACGATTGCCAGAAATGAGACCAACCATCATGGTGGTGGTTGGAATCACAAGGCGGACTGCCAGCTAGAAGTCGTGGTTCTCAGCATGCAGGAGTGTGCTTCGGATCCATATGGGCGGCTGACCACATTGAAAAATCGGGAGATTTACACCAATACCCTCAAAATGGCTAGCGGGAAGTGGAACAAGTGGATAACCGTCAACGGAATAAGGTAGTCGAGCTCTAGCTACCTAGATAGATCTGGATTCTTAGTTGAGTGCTGGCCGAGCTGATTTGTGGGAGAGCATGGATCCTGGACGGCCAGCCGAGGCTCCAACTTCGTCCAGCTTTCCAAGAATAAGCCTCCATGATCGTCAAAGAATGATTTCTATTGTGCCCTTACCCTTCTGATATATCTTTATACTAGATAGAATTTGCGGGCGGCGAGATATATCTGCCTCCTGCATCTTTGTCGCCGGCGATCAAGTCGTCCAGAGATCTTGAGGAACAATGTCTCTTCGAAAGAACTTAATGTTCCCAGGTTGATAAAGTATTAAATGTCAGATGATAGTTGCTGCATTGAATCAACCGTTGCTAATATTCGGATGTTTTACCGAGTCCTTACTCCTGCATGTCGAGATATACTTGGTTGACGGAGATTGGTCATCGAAAAGTTACCATTTATCTCGCAAAGCGTCTTCATCAGAGCTCCCGGGCTTCCATTCAACCTATTAATCCTAATAAGACATTCAGAATACGACAGCAATTTCCTCGCAAGGTATATGTGCAGACGAGCTTGTGTGATATATTGTAACAAGGCAAAGTGGCTGTGCTGAGCTGGGCTGGTAAAGTGGTAGCAGGGGGAGAGTTGTCTAGTCACATGTCAATCCAAAATGGGCTGGTAGGGGGAGTGCGGAATAGTTTCACAGTGCTGGCAGAGTGCCATTCTTTACAGTTTGAGCAGAGTATCATGAATTCCATGTCCTTTTGGTGCCGCCTACCTAATTCCTGAGTGTTTTGTCTGTCCTGTCCTGCTCCTCGATGCCGCCGCGGTGCTAGGCGTGCGTTGCCCTAGCCGCCGCCTCTCTAGGTGTTGGTGATGGTGTTGTCTTGTGAGCGCCAACGAGAAACGCGTTCTCGATTCCCGACCCGCTGG